AGAGAGAGAGAGAGAGAGAGAGAGAGAGAGAGAGAGAGAGAGAGAGAGAGAGATTTTAATCTGCTTTTTTTCCCTAAAAAATCAGTGACTAAATGTGGAAATGTTTATTTCAGTTGGGTGTCCTTCTATTTGTTCTAGCAAGGTGTGGAAGCTCCATTACTATATGGACACTGGCTAGAATTGGTAATTTGTTTTTGTTTCATATAAAGAAAAAAGTGTGTAATATTTGCTTTTAACTTAATGAAGGTTTTCACTTTGTGGCTATTTGTTCATCTTTTCTTTTTTTGTGCAGCTTTTTTTGGGCTATTTACCATACCAAAAGTGTATTCCTCTTATTCAGTGCAGCTTAGTAAATATGGTAAATCATTTATCCCCTGTTTAATTACAATGAAAAAGGAAGCTGCCTCTGAGACTTGATTCTAGTGATTTTACAGTAACTTGTTACTGCTTTAATAAAAGAATTACCATATATCAATGATGTTTACTTTGTGAAAGTAATTGAGGTGAAATTAGTTAAAATTTAACAATGTGATCAGATATATGGTACTTAGATTCAAGGAAAAGGGTACTAGTTCTTCTTGGATCAATTGCCTTGCATTTACTCAAACAAGATTCTCTCTCTCTCTCTCTCTCTCTCACACACACACACACACACAAGCAACTAAAATGAAATGGTGGAACTCTGTAGGTCCATTTTTGAGAAAGTATTCAGGGAGTGAGATTTTAATTCATGAATTGTCTTGCTTTGTTATTATGTAGGGAGATTTTGGTTTCGGCGCTTCAGGGATGCCTGGAATTCTTGTTCTCATAAGAAGGCAGTGGCAATTGCTGCTTTCATGGTTATATGGAATTTGTCTTCAGTTGTTGCTCGCATTTGGGCCGGTATGTCATTACTTTTGTCTTTTTTTTTTTCTTTTTCCCTTGAGCTATCAAAACATATTATCTATCCAAAAAAATTAGAAAGTTGCATTTGTAAATTTTCTGTTGAACAAATTTTTCATGTAAACCTCTAGTTACATACATATAATCAGTTTTCAAGAAAAATAAAATAAAAAAGTTCAGGTTATTGAAGTAAATTTTATGATATGTAATAGTGAGATCTTTAAGGAAGTTGAGGCATTTTTCACTAATAGTTGCTGTTTACTCAATTTGCGCTTAGAATTGTGAGGTATAGTGCCCATTTTTTTGAGAATTGGAATAGGAATATTAGTTTTCTTTTGGATATGTCAATAGACTCCAGAATCTTAGATATCACACATAATAAACAGACCAGGCTGTTACATACTCATACAGTCCAAGTAGAGAATCTTAGTTAATTTCTTTATTATTAAGTTTTATAAATGTAATTAATCAAATTGGTCTTGCACACAGTGAAACAGACCTAATATAATTGTAGAAATCCAGTCGAAATCACCAGTGTCAGATCAGGATCATGAGATGGCAAATTCTAGTTTGAGGGAACCCTAAAATCACTTAATTTTCTCAGTTCTCTTTTCTTTTAAGCTTTGTTTATTAAACATAGTCCCATCCAGCTGAAGTATTGCCTCAGTCGGTCCTGCGAACTGGAAGTGGACCTCAACGACTCAGGGTTCAATTCCAATTTTTTAATCGTAACAGTGTAATTTTTTCGCCATTAGAGAGAGAGAGACAGAAAAAGACTGAGACTGAGACAAGTGATTACTGATTAAAAGAAGTCGGAACCGGATTCCTTATCCCTGAAAAACAACAAAGTAGGCTCCACATCTCACTACTAATTATTGTTGTAGGTGGACCTCTCTCTATCTAATCCTTTTACCTAAGCCATGGATGACTTTTTCTAGTTGGATCATCCATGACTAACTGCTCTGGTGAATTTTGCAGCTTTTATCTTAATTGTGGCCGTTCGATATTACCAACAATCCCTGATCACCGTCAACTGGGATGAGGTAGAAGTAAGAGTGTGCAGGCCAATCCCAAGCCAAAAGCCTGGCCCACTGAAAATAAGCCCAATCCGGAAGAAGAGCCAACTTGGTGGGCCCATTGTAAAGGATGCAGTGAAAGAGAAGAGGAAGGGATCCTAAGAAGGTGGGACCTACCATTATGGGGCAACCTCAAATATTGTAAATGAGCATATGGCTTAATAATTCTTTCATTTCACCCTTGTATTTTTTACTCTACGGTTTAATCAACCGCATATGGCTTAATAATTCCTTCATTTCACCTTTATATTTTTTACTCTTTTAAGGTTTAACCAACCAGCAAAGATGGCTAAAGAGGAAGCTTCCTTCTTGTCCAGTTTCTTGTGTCTAGCAGTGACTTAAAAATTACATAAAGTTACTGACTCGGTAGGGAATCCTTAAAATACCCTGGTTTCACCTGATATTTGTTTGTCTTTTTATTTTCTTTATTATCTATAAAGAGATATTGGTCTGATTAGGGGCATAGCTCTTAAAAGAACAGAACAGTGAAACCAGATTTATACAGCCGACTGCAAATAATTGAGATGAAACCAAGATAACAATGATAAACCAGTCCGACTAGGGAATTTCCCAAGTTTGATAGGCCTAATAAGACTGGTCCCATACCTCTCTCTCTATGAGTGTGCACTAATGCACGTTTTGTCCAACGATTAAGGGGATTTTCTTACATATATATACAATGCAAACTTTTTTTTAGCACGTATGGAGAAATAGATCATGGTTCTTCAATTCATAATAATATCTTAGTCTTTCATTGATCCTTCCTTAACAAGTAATAAGAAATGTCACTACCAAAAAATAGTCCCTCTTTTATTGCACTAATTTTTGTTTAGCCTTATCCTTTGAGCATTGATGCTTGTACATTTAATTTATATTGCCAAACAACATAGGAATAGATCATAGTGTCTTAATGCACAATAATCTTTTTGTCTTTTGCTGGTAGACCCTCAACAAGTAACAAGAAATGAAACAACTAAAAAAATATTCTTCATGAAATGATAAGGCATCTGGTGTCCATGGAGCCTATGTTAGACATGATTCCCAACTAAATTGCTTTCTTAACCTAGATTCTTGATTATAAAATGGAAGGAAAATTGCCATAAAATAGTAAACAAACATAGAAAAATGGCCACATCGCTTATAAAAAACCTGAAGAAATATAAAAATATGGACTCAAATTATGGAGGTGGATCACCCTAGCATAATCTTTTGACCTAGGTTCCAATGCTCGACTCTTTTTTTGTAATTTTTTTTTAGAGGAAAACACAAAGAAGTTCCACGTTCAATGCAAGCTTTCTAGTCTATTTTACTACCTTTTTCTAAACCTTAACCTGGACCATGGTCTTTGAGTTGTAAATAGTGTTACTAGGCTTTGGTTAAAAAAGACCACTTTTTCCATGAGTTACGAGTGGCAAGTGGCACTTCTAAACACATATAATAATTGAATAGATGAAAGTGACTAAAGTATCTTTTTCTAATTTTGAGACAACTTAAGTAGTCTTTTGCTTAAAAAATAAAGAGAAAAGATCTTATAGGACCCTCTTCCACTCATGTGTGTAGGACCTCTAAAAGATCACTATTAAAGTTAGTACGGATCTTTAGAAAAATCAAGTCTCACACCTATATGATAACTTTTTTAGAGATCTGTGCCAACTTTAGTGTTGATTCTTTGGGGTCTTACACACATAGGTGGGGGATGGTCTTTACCTTAAAAAAAAATATGGGATTAAATATAATGAGATCATTTACCTTTGATATAAGGTGGTCACAATTCCTTACAACCATTTGATGTGAAATTTGATAGCTTGGATGTGTCATAAAGTTCGACAAAATTTCTTTTGAAGTTTGAGCTTGGTCAATAGAACAATTATAACTACCCAATTTCACATCCAATGGTCAAGATTAATGTGACCACCTTGTATTAAAGGTAAATGGTCTCATTCTATACTTTCCCAAAACTATCAATGTCTATATGACACTGACACTTTAGCCGATCCCTGCTTATTTTTTCTTTTTGCCTATAATTTCACAGATAAACCTATTATCTCTCGCTTTAGCCTTTCCTTATTAATTTGTTTTTGGGAAATTGTAAAAAAGTATCTCATTTTTTTTAGGTTACTAGAAATAAACCCCAAAATTTTAAAAACCTCATCTATACCCCTTTTCACCACCTTTTGTATTTTTTTTGACTGAAATAGCATTTAAGGAAGTGTTAGATCTGTGAAGGCATCACTGTTAACCCAAAACCGTGATGGTCATGGAGGGTTCAAATATTTTGGTGTGGGGCTTATGTATCACGATTCTTTTAGGACCGTGATAACGGGGTAGCATTAGAACCATCAAGGTACTTAAATAATTGTGATAATCACCTTGATTATCACGGATCTTGCACCACCGTGATACCTTTTTTTTTTTTGACAAATATTAGTTAATTTATTAATGACAGGAAATTACATGGAGAAAATTACAATACCAGTCACCAAAAGCGAAGGTAAAGGAGCACCACTCATCGCAAGGGAATCTGCCATATCATTTGCCTTCCTATAAACATGTTGAAAAGTAATTCTCAAGGACTCTGCCAAATCTAGAATTTGAAGCTAGATATTTTTCAACTCCCACGACACTGTTCCTTATCGCACCATCTAATTTCATTCAAAGAGTCCCCTTACACGAGGCAACATCACCAAGATTTTTGCTTCTAAAAAACCTAAGACCATGTAAGAGGGCCATAATTTTGGCATGATTAGCAGTAGCCACTCCAATCTATCACGGTTCAATTAGAACCGTGATAGTTAAACAACCCATCACGGTCCTTGAAGTATTGTGATGCTTTAGACATGATTCTAGCCTTAAACCTAATACAAAGTCACTTAGACCCGTTATGATCATTATGGTTCTGAGTTGACCGTGATGCCTTTACACATCTAAGACAACAATAAACGGTATTTTCGTTAAAAAAACACAAACAATGGTGGCAGGGGTACACTGAGGTTTTGAAAATTTTGAAATTTGTTTCTAATAATCTAAAAAAAAGATAATTTTGATGATTTCCCATTTTTCCTTTTTTGCCTATATTTTCACAGATAAACAAATTGCCTGATTTTTCTTTGAAATACCTTTTCTACCATGACTTTATCCAAAACATGGGAAAGAAATATACTCGATTTTCTATTGTGTATTAAATTTAGATAAGAAGAAAGGAAGGCCAGAATATTGCTTTCACATGAACCTATGATGAGTCATTCTCCCCATGTGAATTATGTGGTACTTTTGTTTGTCTCTTTCTTCTTGGGTAAGTTAGATCGGATTCCGACCTTGGACTCCATTGTGGCCCTTACAACCAAGTCACAATGCCAAGAATTACATCTCAAAATGCTAAGTGAATTTTGATAAACAAAATTTGATTGGCATTGCTTATGAAAGGGAAGAAGTTAATAGATTGGCTGCAATATATCTACTCATCCATTTTACATTTTAAATTGGATGTGTCGAAGGCTAATATTTGGAAGTAGGATTACTTTGTTGAATAACTTCGAGTAGGGGTCTACAAGTTAATTGGGAGATTAAATGTATATATAATAAAGTTTAGGATAAAATTATTTATCAAATAGCCCAACAACTGCAAGACTTCTAGTAAGTGTGCTATTGTCCTCAGAGAACATATGATACAGTTTGGAAGATTGATCTAAGGGGTAGGGGAGTTTTAAATTAAATCTCTTCATGTATGGTTGTATAGATGGTTAAAGCCAGAGGATGCTAAAAATTGGAAATAGCCTGCCCTTCACAAATTTCAAGCATTCATGTAGTTAAATTAATATTTCTTGATAAGATGCCAAGTGTTGGGATAAAAAGGAAATATTAGCCTTATTTGTTTGTGTACTGTGCAAGAGCGATGAAAAACATATAATCATTTATAAAAAGGAAGACCAAATGTGATCTTTTTGGGAATTTTTTTTTCTTTTTTACTTTTTTTTTTTTATTTCTTTTGGCACTACAATAACTCTTGTTTCAAAAAAAATATAATTAATATACACAAGATCGTAAAAACCTTGATGCCACTAAACAAATTTTATTTAAACAAAGAAAATAACCGCAATTCTCACGCTTAAGAATATAAAGACTATATAATTAAATATGATACGAAACAAAAAGAGAGTGCCGGATATTACCTCAACTAGGCTTCTTACACCCCACACCGAGTCACTACCATCCGATGGTGATGGATCAATGATCAACCTTCAATCTCAAACTGAAAAAATAAGTTTAGACCAAAACCCTCCAATAGAACTATGAACTCATATTAAATCACAAATCTCAAACTTAAGTTCAAACTCACAAAACCTAGTTCAAGAGAGATAATATCTATTTACATCTGCCCAATCCTTAGGATCAACACCACTACAACATAAGCCAAGAGAGAAAGAGATAGATCTAGGTGGGGCGTGTCCCCTCTTACAAAACTTTGGAAGGGAGAGAGCTTATAGGCTGGGGAATACTCCTTTAGACTTTAGAGAGAGAGAGAGAATTGGGGCGTGCCCCCCTTAACTGACTAACTAGAGAGAGATATATTTAGAGAGTTAAGAGAGATTTAGGTATAGAGATTTGGGTAGAGATCAATCTTTTTTTGATAGTGATTGAACAAGATTAGGGTTTTCCTTTGCTTGCATCTTCTTGTGAGATTGAATATGAACCATTGATCTTGAGCGACTAGTGGGGTGAGAAGTTTGATCCCTCAATTCCATAGTAGGCCATCAATATCATGAAATGTGTTAAAACCTTTATCCCCCATTCAAAAACCATTTTCCCATCAATAAAAATTAAATAAAATAATTTCATTCATAATATAGTTCTTACCAAATTATGTACAAGTTTTCTCATGCTTTCTAAAAAAACTTTTGAAAGCTTCCTCAAGGCAAAATCTTTCTAAAAGACTTCAAAGCTTTCTTTTCAAGCCAAAGCTTGAACTAACACACGAAAAGTTTCATTAAGATGGGGCGTGCCACCCTAGGTGGTACTTCATGGGCCCCACCCACATACAATAGTGGACCCATTAACATATTGGGCTTCCCATGTAATATTAAAATTAATAAGTATGATTTTTAGAAATCCATAAAATTAAATTTGAATATTTAAATCAATCTAAATTGTCTCTGTTTTTATAAATCTAAGTTTGATAAATAAAATATCCAGAGATTTTAAAAAATTCAAATAACAATTCTAAATATTACATATCATTAAAACTTACAT